CAATTTTCAGTGATTGGACCTATTTAGTTACATATCTCCAACTAGCTCAGCAGTTCACGATAGTAGTCGGCTTTTAATAATGCTTTTCTAACGTTGCATAACTATTTTAATTTCCCTTGTCCGAAAATAAGGGAGTTTGAACGTCTCAATTGCCCAGAAATATTAGTTATAGCTGTTACTTTTATGTCTTGAATGCTATTTGTAAAAAAAGTGTAAACACTTATAGTTGATACTTCGATGCATAACTATGATTCATCCGACTATATATGTACCGTTCCGATTTGTATTTCATCTATCGTACGTACTAATGTACTGCTTGAAACTTAAAATTGTATCACTTATTTGGCTTTGACATATATAGCAATATAGCATAGTGGTTTTTGTTAGTGTCATCCTCACTCGGGTTCAAACTCGTGATATCACTCATTTATTTAGTTTGTAATGTAGAAAATTCCGGAATCTCTAGTAGCGAGAATGTTAAATTTGTGGGCACTGGATTTGCATTCCAATCAGCTCAAAACTCTCCCCAACTCCATTGGATGTCTGTCCAAGCTTAAGTATCTTAATGTCTCCGGAAATTACCTCCAGTTTCTCCCCAAAACTATCGAAGGTTGCAGGTAAGACCCCTTCCTCACATCCAATTCTATTATATTCAAAGTAATTAATGTACCAAAACGCAAAACGCAGATCCCTGGAAGAGCTAAACGTCAACTTCAACGAGCTGACCAGGCTCCCAGACGCGATAGGGTTCGAGCTCACAAATCTGACAAAGCTCTCCGTCAATTCCAACAAGCTTGTCGTGTTACCAAACTCCGTTAGCCACTTGACGTCTCTGCGTGTGCTCGACGCGCGGCTAAACCGCCTTGGGTCGCTTCCTGAGGATCTAGAGAACCTGGTGAACCTTCAGGTCCTTAATGTTAGCCAGAACTTCCACTTGACGGTGTTACCTTACTCCGTTGGCTTGTTGATATCTCTTGTGGAGCTTGACGTCAGTTATAACGGAATTACCGTTTTACCAGACTCCCTCGGCTGTCTCCGCCGGATTCAGAAGCTCTCCGTCGAGGGTAATCCCCTCGTCTCCCCACCTTTTGAAGTGGTATGTACAATTATTTTATCTTAGTTTTTTCAATAATAATATAACCTTCTTTTCAAGACATACATTCTATCGGATTGAATATGGTGTTGGATAACATTAATACAAATCACTATGCTATATGTCCTGGTATAATAACAAAACATATTTGATAAAATTATGTTTAGTAGAAATTAAATAGAATGCATTCAACATTAAAAGAAATATAAGAGAGCATAACTTATTTCGCAAGCATTCTCATCTATAGTATATTATAGTAAGCAACGCATATATGAAATTTAGCTGAAAATATTCGTTTTGTATATAGTAAGTATTTGTTATGTTAAAGCCTCAAGGTAAACTCATCCGTTTAGTGAAGAGACATATGAAGATGTAAATAAAAAACCTTATAAATGTTTTGTGATATAGTTTAAAGTTGATGATCTGTTACAACAGGTGGAACAGGGTTTGGAAGCAGTGAAGCAATACATGAGCGAGAAGATGACCGAGTCTTATAAGAAAACTCCGATCAAGAAGAAGTCGTGGGGCATTGGGAAGCTCGTCAAGTACCCGACCTTTCACGGCCTGAGTTCATCTCCGGGGAGGAAAGCCGGTGGAGACGAGAGGGAAGGCTACATCAACGCCTCTGATTACCGCCAAATCGATGGAATTGCCTCCCCCCGACGCGTGGCCCTCTTCAACCCGCGACGCCTCTTGTCTCCATTCTCTGCGTATTTCTCTCCTCCCAGGTATTAGCTAAGGCTACTTCTGTCTTTTTATGTTCTACATACTATTCCAAACGGTTAGTTATCCTTTCCTTGTAGTGTTAATAATGTTCTTTGTACGTTGTTTTTTGCATGCTGGCGTCAAGGTAAAATCGTATTTTTGTGTATAAGTTTTTTTGTTGGTCTGTATCATAGATTGTTGGATCGCTTTTCTCGTTTCGTTGTATTTTCGTTCAATTTTGTTGAACATTTGTAAATTAGGACATAGACTCGTAAAGTTTGTCCATTTATTATGTAAAATCGCATTTCGCAGTATTCCCCCGCCTTTGTTTGAGCTGATCATTTTCGTAAACTTATTTGGATGATATAGCGGTCTTGGGACCTGACCGAGTTTGAATCTGGTTACAACAGAACAATTACAATTCGTGTAAGACATATATGCAGAATAAGCGGAATTTTTTTTTTGAATGATTATGCTCTTAATTACGATGCAAGTAAAATAATTATCCAATTTGACTTTTTTTTTTTCCAATACATGTGTCATGTGTGTTCGGATCAGATTTCGCATCTTCTAGACGGTTAAATTTATTCATCATAGAAAACATCATTGTCCGGAAAAAACAAGCAAATGTAGATGTCTGATTCGTCCACTAGAGAGCAAACATATGTTATGCTCCTTGTTGATATCACGCGGAGGGTCCATTCCTTTGGTTCTCATCATGTCACATGAAATATGGTTAAGACAATCTGTGGGACGAAAAAGGATTTGTCATCTCAATGACTCTTCGACGCATCAACGAAAGGTGACAATGTAAGTGGGATCAGAGAAGTGTTGGAGAGGTAGTATGGATACATCTCTCCAAGTGGGAATTGACTCGAGTATCATGGGAATCAGGGAAAGTGGCCTCGTAAGTGTCACTCTCCTTCCCTTCGTGATCGGTGAGTTTTCCTTTTCATTTGTAGTAGTTGTGTTCGGTGAATAAGCCATCTCTGGGAGGGTCCCTTTCTCGGTGAGTCCTCCCTCTTCTTTAAACAAAGTAGAGGAGTATTTATAGTGGTGATACTTGATTGGATGTTGGGTTGCATCGACCCACTTTTCCCACCTGGTTAAGTGTGTTGTTTTGTTTTCATGGCGCGTACCAAAGAAATTTATCTTTGCCAAACTCCAAAATATCATTACCCTACTACATCAAACACGAAAAAACTAACTCATAGATCCGTTCCCAAAATAGCTTACATTGACATTAAATACTTTACATTGATACCGGATATATCTTCTCAAAAGCATCAACATCTACATCTTCGGGAT